CATGCATAAGAAAATATAAATGCAGTACGAAGACAGTGGAGCTTTGCATCTACTTGCCTCACCCTTCTCCTCCTAGAATTTCATTTCTTAGCTGTAAGCTTGAGAGCTTTGTTTCTGTTAGTAAGGAGATAAGTTCCATTATCAATGGCTGATTGTGGAACAGAGCAGCGTACTTTGGAAGATACTTCAACTTGGGCTGTTGCGGTTGTTTGTTTTTTCTTGGTTGTTATTTCAATCTTCATTGAACATGTCATTCACCTCACTGGAAAGGTAAGCCTTCCGAAATGCCCCATACTGTTAAATCTTATTGAGTTCAGGGATCCGAATCTCTGACTTCTGGGTCGAGAGGATATGTCATGACCAAGCAATACTCATTTTGGCCTGAAACTTTTAAATCTGAGCTTAAGGATCATGCTTTTTTCAAGCAGAGAAATTCCGTAGAATGTTGATTTTGGCTTGATGCTAGAATTTTATTGTGCATTATCAATATTTGGTACTGCAAAAATTTTATCTTTTGCTGAAGTTGTGCTTCTGTGTAGCTTGATTAATCTAGTATTTTATGTCAATTAAATCTGTGTAGTGGCTGGAGAAAAAGCACAAGCCAGCTCTTGTTGAAGCTCTAGAAAAGGTTAAAGCAGGTATTAGACGCATCTAGCCACCACAATCTTTTGGGAATGTTTTTTTCTCTTGTGTCAAAGGCTGAGCTGACTATTTCTCTCTTGTCGGTGGTCTCTTGAAGAGCTTATGCTGTTGGGATTTATATCCCTACTTCTGACGATAGGCCAAGATGCTGTCACTCAAATTTGCGTTTCAAAGGAGCTTGCGGCAACTTGGCTTCCCTGTGCAGCAAGAGGTAAGGAAGGAGCAAAAGTTACCAAGAACAGTCGTCTTAAACTCCTTGAATTTTTAGATCCTGACTATGGTTCAAGGCGTATTTTAGCTTCAAAAGGAGACGATGCATGTGCCAAGAAGGTGAAACAATCTCTTTAATTATGGAGTAGCAAAAATGTAATTGCCATCAAGTAGAAATTGCTTGAGCTTATATTCCCAAGTGATTTGAAGCTATCTGCTGAAATTTTTTTCAGGGCCAACTCGCTTTTGTGTCGGCATATGGAATTCACCAGCTCCATATTTTCATCTTTGTATTGGCTGTCTTCCATATTCTATACTGCATCACCATTTTGGCTTTGGGCAGAACAAAGGTAGTCTTTAAACTTTTCCACGCCTCTCTCTTTTCCCTCGATCTATCTCATGAATTCCTTTTGATTGTAGATGAGCAAATGGAAGGCCTGGGAGGATGAGACGAAGACCATTGAATACCAGTACTATAATGGTATAGTATCGCTCAAAATCCATATAAATGGCTAGATTTTACCGTGCTTTAGGCACTCATAAGGTTTCAAATGTCATAGCTGTTAAAGTCATATTTAGGAGTGATTTTGAAATGGCTAACACTATATAAAAAAAAAAAAAAAAAAATGCTCAAATGCTTTTAATTTTTAGTTTTGACTATATGAAAATCACGTTTAAGAATGTAAAACCAAATATTAAAGTGATCATATGAAGATTACCTTTAATAAACTAACTTATAGACAAATCATTTTTACTCGAATCACTGTTCCTAGAACGAACCACTCACATACCTCCCTTAAGTGAGCTTTTTTGGATGACTAATTGATAGCATCTCATACAAGTTGCCAATGGTTTTTCAACAGCTTGGGACGAAATCCTTTTTTGATTGTTAATATTTTGATCCATTTCCAAGGACACATCATATCATTTTTTTTCATGCTGTTATCATCTCCCATTGCAGATGCATTCATTAGAAATCCTAGGCAATCATAACTTATGAATTGATAACTTCTGTCTTGCAGATCCAGCAAGATTTAGATTTGCGAGAGATACCACGTTTGGACGCCGACACTTGAGCTTTTGGAGTCGTACACCAATTTCCCTCTGGATTGTGAGTGTTTATCACAAAATTAAATCAAGAAATTTGCTCATGAATATGAACTTGACAACCACTCAAATTATTTGCATCTGTGTCCAATCATATAGTTTGAACTCCCCACTATTCTTTATGCATTTTATGGTATTAAATACATGTTGAAATTTGCAGCAACAGTGACAATATACATGATGTTCATTACCCCATGTTCTGTTGCGTAGGTTTGTTTCTTCAGACAATTCTTTAGATCAGTTACCAAGGTTGATTACATGACACTGAGACATGGATTCATCGTTGTAAGCAAAATATATCATACTGATATTGCATCGACTTAATAAAGATTCTGCAAGTCCATACTTCTTAACTTGAGCCATTTTTCAGGCACATTTGCCACCTGGAAGTGAAGTAAAATTTGATTTTCACAAATACATTAGCAGATCTCTCGAAGATGACTTCAAAGTTGTCGTGGGGATTAGGTTTGTTTCTTAGTTATATAAATAAATTTGACTCACTATAAAAATTTTGACCAACTTCTAATCTGCAGTCCAGCGATGTGGATATTTGCTGTTTTCTTAATCCTAACCAACACAAATGGTAAGCTTACAATCACTGCCTTTCAGATAAACGTACTTGTCATGGCTTTAGTTCCTTTCAATCTCGTACTTATTCAGGAACGGTATTCCATTTCAGGGTGGTATTCGTATCTATGGATGCCTTTCATCTCCTTAATTGTAAGCATTTTGCCACGTCGTTTATTTTTAAGCATTAGTTTCGTTTCATTGTTTGTTCAACTTTTTCCTCGTGTATATAATGCCAGATAATTCTATTGGTCGGAACGAAGCTACAAGTTATCATAACCGAGATGGGACTGACAATTCAAGAAAGGGGCCATGTTGTGAAGGGTGTTCCCACCGTTCAGCCCCGGGATGACCTCTTTTGGTTCAGACGCCCGCAACTTATTCTCTTCCTGATTCACTTCGTTCTCTTTACGGTACTTTTTCAAAAAGTTCGACTCGTGTTTCTACTAATAATTTGTTTTCCTCCCTGAGAAAATGACATTCACTCTGTGTGCTTGCAGAATGCTTTTCAGCTTGCCTTCTTTGCTTGGACCTCAGTAAGCAACTCTCTCACGGTCATTTTTCAAGCCACTATTAGTAGATATTGTGTCCTCTTTGAACTTTCCCTGACGCGTTTTAAAATCGTGAGACGGATAACGATACGTAACGAGCCAAAACGGATAATATCTACTAGCAGTGAGCTTGAACGGTTACATTGAATCATATGCAGCAAACTTCCTCTAATACTGTGTTTAATTCTCTCAGTACGCATTTAAGTGGAGAGCTTGCTTCCATAAGCGAGTTGAAGATATTGTCATCAGGCTCTTAATGGGGTAAGTTCATAAGATGATCTGTAAACGAACCCGAGTTTCATCCTGTCTATGATCCGCTAACTGAAACTGAAATCGACAAATTTTCCAGGGTTATCATTCATGTTCTATGCAGTTATGGGACACTCCCACTCTATGCATTGGTGACCCAGGTAATCATCAAGCAAAAGTTACTTCTATTTACTTTGAACCCTTTGTAAGATCATATATGCTATGAACTGTTTTCTTGTGTAAATCTGAAACTCAAAATAGTTCCAATAGAGAATAGAATAGCCATTTACCTTGTATGCACTCTTGATCCAGATGGGCAGCAACATGAGACCAACCATTTTCAACGACCGAGTGGCGTCGGCGTTGAAGAACTGGCACCACAATGCCAAGAAGAACACGAAGCACCCGCACAACCCGGATAGTACCTCGCCTTTCTCAAGCAGGCCGACTACTCCAACACACGGCATGTCTCCCATTCACCTTCTGCACAAACAGCAGCAAAGCAGCACATCTCCCAGGCTATCCGATGGCGAACCGGATCGTTGGGACATTGAAGAGATGCCTCCTTCACACCATAGTAGCAGAGCCCATGATCATCAAGAACTCGAACATTCTGTGACGAATAGAGAACAGGAGATGACAGTTAAACAGCAGAGTTCATCGGAGACCGGTTCCACAACACGTCCTGCTCGTGCTCAACACGAAATCACCAAAAGCCCCTCAGACTTCTCATTTGCCAAATGATTTAGCCGATCGTCCCACCAGATATTCTTGCACGTTCTTGGCGTACAGAGCAGCAAATACTACATCTGTATAATCTTTATACACTCAAGGACAGGACAGTATTATAACTACTGCATAGCAACTAGCTTCTTTTATTGTGCTTCATGTTGGTATAAAATAACCAACTGCTTTTTCCAATTTTTCTGAGCATTAATTGACAACAAAGCCATTCTTTCCCCTATTATCCAACACGATTGTGTGAGGTATAAAAATTTGAACAAAAGGAATACATACCAATTATCACTAACTTAACTATGCTCACTTTTGGTATCGTTACGTTAGGACAAGTCATCGAGTTTGATTATTTGACTTTACTATTTAAATATTTATATTGATCAATCTCAACGCAACTTAATTAGTATAGACATATATTATATGCAAATGTAATCGAATTTGGAGTTCTATATCAATTAAAAATGGTTCGTAAATTAGAGCTAATTTGAGTTCAAAAATTTTAATTCGGTAAAGAAATGATCTTTAAAGAAATGCTTAATCATTTGAGACACTCATTTGTATTATATATAAATAAATAAACTTATCTTATTAACACAAACTTTTGATAAGATTAAATAATAACATAAGATTGATTTTGTTTAATATTAGGAAAAATATTTAATAATTATATTTTCTAACACAAAAAGTGAATAACTGAAAAATAATAAGATCATGAACTAAAACCAATAATTCATAAAATCTTCTAAAATTAGTTTAAGTTGAATTTATTAATAATTTTAATTCTTAAAATTTAAGCTTTTTGAATGTGATTTTTCTATAAGATAAAACGAGTCACAAATTTTAAAATAAAATAAATATTTTAATTTTATTAAAAAAAAAAACTTTAACTAAATAATTAGTTAGTCCCATAATTTAACAATAATGGATTGAATGAGATCTAACAAATGTCTCAACCAATCGACAATAACATCCCTACGGGCCACGTCTCCATCGACTTCTCCACGAACTGAAGAATTTTCTCGAGAAAACAGAGAGAGAAAGTGAAGTATCAGTGGTTTTTCCTCGATTTCGTTGTCGAATTGGAATATGTCTTGCTGTTTCTGGTGGATTTTGAGTCTAAGACGGTGGTGTTGTGCATTGGTTCGTTGTTGGATCTAATTGGAGAGGTTTTCTTTTTCTTTTTCTTTTTCTTTTTTGTGTGTGTTGATCGTTGTGGAAATGGAGGTGAGACCCAATCCGACTTCCGACAACTCGTCAATCACACAGCATCATCTAACCAGTTCTCCATTGAAGCAGCCTGCGGTATCTTCTAATCCTATCGATTCCAACGCTGTTTCGCAGAGGTGAAACTTCTTGTTGATCATTCTTTTGGTTTATTGATTGTTTCGTTTACGCGATTATTGAGAATGTATAGAGTGGACAAGAAATGAAAGAAAATGATGGCAAGAGTTGAGGAATGTACGATTTGATGTTACTTTCTTGTGTTTAATACGCTATTGGCTGTTCTGTAGTGGCTTCTGATTCAAGCTCTCTACGAATTCTTATTAATCGCGATTGTAGTTATGGAATTTTGACATCTTCCTCTATTTGGCTGCAGGCTGCAAAAGGAATTGATGGCACTGATGGTATGTTTCATTTTGGTTTTACATTTCTCGTGGTGTTTCGTTGATTCTTGAATTTTAGGTATTATATGGTCATCTTGATTCGGTATTCATGGCACGTAGTTGGTTGAAACATTCAGAATAAGCAATTTTAGGGTTTCTCCCTGCTGAGTTTGGTGATCGTTCTTCATTTGGAAAATATGTAATTTACTGCTCTTCCCCTTGTGTTGCAGCACCATTGCCACATTCATACTCCTTGATCTTCTTGTAGAATAAGTTTAGCTTGTCCCGACGTCAGTTCTTTGAACTTTAACATTCTGTTTTGCGGCTTCTATGCTACTTGATATCATGTGTGCACGATCATTAGTCAAATAATGGCTTCTTGGATTTCAACTTTACATTTCTCTGTATTGCTGCATCATGCTGAATATTTGTTTCTATTAAATCTTGTTATGCCATAGTAATGTTTGTTACATTTACATCTTGAAATTCAAAACAATGAAATGGTTGGAAAGAGTTAGAAACTAGGGCTGTTGTCTTCTAAGAAGTTCATTCCGGATTGTTGAATGAGGTTTTGCTGCCAAATGGACGGCACTTTGGGACACATGCGGATAGCTGCCCTATCGAAAGGGCTAAAAGTCAGCCAAAAGAGCTCAAACTCTTCTTCTTTTTTTTTGTAGTTCCACTTCTCATTGGTACAATTTCTTGCCTTCTGGATAGTTCATTAACCATATTTGTTTGGTGGTGCTCTCTTTACTATAGATGAGTGGAGGTGATCTTGGTGTATCAGCTTTTCCGGAAGGTGAGGGTATTTTCACATGGAGAGGCACGATTGAGGGTGGGAAAGGAACTGCATATGAGGGTTTGTCTTACAAACTCTCTTTACATTTTCCCATGGACTATCCTTTCACGCCACCCCTTGTTAAGTTCGAGACGTTGTGCTTCCATCCAAATGTCGATCAATATGGCAACATATGTCTCGACATTCTCCAGGTATCGGCTAAATATGCAGTGGCGTTTTTGCTTCTATGTTGAATGATTATTGCATATAGGAAGGGGGAACTACCCGTAATCTGAATTTAGGAAATCTTTTTGACGTTTTCCTCTGTTGTTCATTATTTAGTTGGATTTCCAAATCTCCTGATATCTGATGTAACTTCCTTTTTTCGCTAGGACAAGTGGTCTTCAGCATACGATTGTAGAACCATTCTTTTGTCTATTCAAAGCCTATTAGGAGGTTTGTTCGTTTCTTCCTGCAAATTTGACAATCTTCTAATCTTGATCCTCTCACCCTTATGAAGTTGTGTTTACTTGCAGAGCCCAACCCAGAGAGTCCTCTCAACAGCTATGCTGCTACTCTGTGGAATGACAATAACAAGGAAGGTTAGACTTAAGCCCCTATCTCCCAAAAACTCTTATTTTGTCTGATTACTTCTAAAAATATAGGCGTTAACTTCTTCCTTTGCTTCTCTTTTCATGATAAACATGGAGTAAGAATGGCATATATCTAGGCCGTTTACCAATTTTCTTGTTCCCTTCTCTAGATTACAGAAAGATGGTGTACAAACAGTATTTTTCTGGTGCAGCCTTAGACGGCTGATTTCGAAAAGCCTGAGTAGAGAACAAAAGATTGACACCATATCGTCTGTTGCCATACAATTACTGTAAAGCTCCGAGATAAAAAGGTCTCAGACTTCTTAACATAGAGAGAAAAATAGAGATTATAGATAGTGACACGAACTCTGCTGTATTGGGAGAATGAATTTCACGTAGAGCTAATTCCACTCTTCTGTAATTAATTGCTAGGTAATAGTAATATTTTACAAAATATGAAGCATACTCTTATGCTATTTGATACTATAAGCCATATTCTCTTCAACTCGAAACGGTGATGGATCGAGAACTTTATGTTATCTAATTTTTCTAAAAAATTGTATTCATTTTCTCGTTTCTCATTTCTCGTATTTTATTTCATTCGTTTCTCTTTCCTAATTATTTTATCTACTTTCTAATGTTTTTCTCATTTTTGTTATCTACAATTCTAGTCGATTTGCATAGAGCATGAAGGAAAAAAGAACGAAAAAAAAAAAAAACAATGGTAATTTGATTTGGCTTTAAGTTAGGACAATAACTTAGATGGAAGTGTTGATCCCGAAAAACATGTATCTAATTATATTAGTGATGGAACTTCTATTCGATCATTATTTTCGTTTGTTGGCTGCGTACGGAGGATGTAAAGAACGAACAAGGAAAGAAAATGATGACAATAATTGAGGAATGTACAATTTGATGTTACTTTCTAGTGTTTTTGTTAATTATTGACATTTGAGAACAAAATCCACATTTTTATAAACACTCAAGAACATAATCCATCGATCAAATGCCAAAGCTTCTAACGATAACCGCGAATACTATACATGTTATATGCTCTCTATTTGATGCGTCGAAGTCTCTAATACATACAGCGCCTAGTGCACGAAAAGTCATCCTTTATATCCCGAAAATATGATGCAATCTTTTTCCTGGTTTGCAAGTGCAAGTAGCTTGGTGCAAATGACATCATGCAGGTACTGCGTATCGCTTGGGAGCAAGTGATATGGGACCCAAATAGAGTTCAGACAAGGACACAACAGTCCGGTGACAAGCCATTGCAGAAGCTGTTGCCAAAATTATGATGGACGTCCAGAAGAACTTGAGCATTAAAATTGGTTTTTTGCCAGCTGATTTGAGCACTTTAGAGAAAAGCAATTTGATCCGCCGGTCATTCAAGAAGGAACTGTAATCAATTTGGCCTGTTAACTGTGAACTACTCCGCCCTCCTCTCCTGTCGGATGGAATTCCTGTTTTAACCGTCGTACCAAGCTCGGTAGCTCGGTTGCCCTGTCCTAGTGTTCTAAGTGCCCATTGGTGTATTATATCAGCCACAATTGTGCAGAGTTGTTGACGGAAGAACTTTGCCTCTTTAGAAACCATTGCTTGGATCAGTGAAGCTCCATTCTGTTTCACCAAGATTCACATTATCAGACGGTTGGTCAAGAACATGATTATTTAACCAAGATAGGAAGAAAAGATTGATAGTTACACTTACTGCGGTCATTACAAGTCTTCTAAGCACTGCACCTTCTTTGGATACCAATAGCCTTGTAATTAAATTTACAACATCAAGGTCACTATTAGCTTTAATGGTTGAATACTCAATGGCTGCCTCATTATGTGGAGCTGCCATTCGTTGCAAACCTTTCCTGAAATTCAATACATAAAAAGGCTTTTGGATTCATAAATAAGTCCTTAGTAAGTTCAAATGATGAAGTTCATCAAAATGACTGTATTCTTAAAGCAAGTTTCTGTCTTTGGATGTAAAACACTTCCCTATCTCCACCAAGTTTCCTACATCTCTAGACTGTCATGGCTTATTCCAATGATCTTAGATAGGCTGTCAATTCTATAGCTCGGTGAATTACTAATTACCAATCAAAGCACCATAGTTCAAATCTTCCACCCTGCAATTGTTGAACTAAAAAACGGACAGGTTTTGTCAACCCAAACACCATTTATTGGCTCGACTCCTTAATCCACAGTATAAACAAGTAGCTATGTATACATTGGAAAAATATAACACTTCCCCATTAGATGACCGACTCATTAGAGAGCGTAGAAGAGCATTATGAATTCAAAAAACGGCGCAATGAAACAGAAAATATCATACCTCATTGCACCTACTCGGAGAAAAAGAGCAATTCTTTTCCATTGAAATTCTTTCTTTTTGTTTAGGACCACCTACAAGGTAAAATGAATTGGTGAAAGTTGAAAGACTGCGCCATCTTCTGAGATTTTCTACAAAGAACAACTACAACTTCAATAGCCTATGCTGAATTGACGAATTGCACAGTGAATAGTGGGAAGCAAATATAAATGATGCAACAGTGAGAAAAATTGGAATACTCGTACGAAAAAGATAATACAAGAATTAAAACAGTATGAATAACGAAGTATATTAGATATTCCAACTCTACGGCTAATGCAATCCAATCACTATTATAACTTATAAAATATCACTATCATCAAAAAATATCAACGGAGTTAAAAGTCATAAGCCTGAGTTATTATTGAAGTTCTTAGAGCGTGGAATACCGAATGTAATATCTTCCGGGTAGGAATGGAATTTTCAGTAAGAAGTTTCTGAACTACATAAGGAAATGCAGCTTCAAATGTCTTGAAATCTTTATCTGCCGCTAGTGCCAGACCTGAGGATATGAAAAGAATAATGAAATTTGAACATTAAAATGAAGAAGTCCGATGGTCATCATATAAATTATGGGAAAGATGGAAATGAGGACCTTCAAATGTTATCAATAAATCGTAAAGTGTATGAACATGAAAACTTTTTTTCTTCACGATATGTGAGCGAGAGACTCATCGTATAGTATCAGTATTTTTTAACCTCCAGGCACGCTATATTATAATATTTAAGTTCCATTCATTAAGGGTGAAATGAACCCTTCTTGTTATAGCCTTGAGAAATTATGCATAAACATTACCAGAAATACTTTTATCTAAAAGCAAAATCGATTCAAGAAATGGTATGTAATAGCTAACCTTCCAAGGAGGCAAGAGACCGTAGCATTAGTGTATAGTATGGAGGCATGCGGAACTGATACTTGAGGGCTATAGACCAGATTTTGCCAAGAACCTAAATGGAAGTAGTCACCAGCGTTCAGCCAGAAATAAATATGAAGCTGAAACAACGTTTGCTAAGCTCGAACGCACAAAATAAAGTGCATGTTTAACAATGATGACCTTATATCTGGGAGAAATAACACGATACTACAAGACATTGCAGTTATAAGATGAATAAGAGTAAAACAATATATGCTTATTCAGAATTTACACTAGTTCACTTGCAGAAGAAAGTTAGTTTTTTTTTTTATTTTGTTGATATCCGTACATGTTTGGGTCAGTTTGTGCACACCTCGTCTAATCTCATGGAACAACTACATGACCCCTCATTTGATTGCCAAGAAAACTCATAGGATATTAAATCTTAAGGTAGTTGGCCACCATGATACGAACTCAATTCGTTTAAGCCCTCTATTTATCTCATGACCCTTATAGATCATCAGGCCAACCTATGATCATTAGATTCAAGAATGAAATCAAGCACATGCATTAGCCGAGCGCTGAGAGATCAGTACCACTCATTTGATGACCTCTAAAACTTACAAGCAATAGTTTTTCCTTCAATAGTGGTGCAATTACAATCCAAGTTTGCAATCCCTAATTATTAATTTTTTATACTCGTGAATATTCGAACTAGCTTGTGTGCACCTTGACTAATCTCACAGGACATTCGCCTGACCCAACTACATAAGAACTAAGAGGGAATGGGTTTAAGCCATAGTGGCCACCTACCTAGGCCCGTGAAACTCATCACTACCTCGTAAGGGCGTTGAGATCATAGCATGTTACACGAAAGCTAATGACCAAGGATATAATCAAAATAACCATTGGCATTGAATAAAAAGCTATACTTGAACTTCTGGTTTCAAATTTCATTTGGTTAATTCTACTCATTTCCTCCAAGAATTCAACATCAAGCTAAAACCATAACACACTAACACGCAATATTGCTATCAAGAACTCATGATACGTTCCAAAGAATAACTAGCAAGTACTCACTCAATCTTACCTTACTGAACTTTACATCAGGAATTCCATCTTTAAATTCTAATTCTCCCAAGGCATATTCCAAATCCTGAAACATGATCAGTCACTGGTCAAATTACACGCAGAGGGCTGAGATTCTTATCCGGGAAAAGAAATTGGTTTTATCTTAACCAAACTGCAGTAATCATAATGAGTGGAGATGCAAATATGATACCAAGGTAACACGTCGTAAATTAGTCCCTGGCCTCACGACATCCATTTCAGCAAGGGCTTGAACAAGGTTAGCCCAATCCCCATTTACAATGTGAACAATCGACGCAAGCATTGCTAATTGATGCTTCTCCTCCATCCGACAAAGTAAACCGAAGTCTAGAAACCTGTCAGGATAAAACATTAATGAATCTTCAATACAAAACATTCTGTACTTACGTTGTTAGGCATGAAAATTACCCTATTTGTCCTGAAGGTATGTAACGCAAGTTTCCGGGGTGTGGATCGGCATGAAGTAATCCAGTATCAAGAAGCTGAACTAATGTTGCCTCAACTCCTTTGTTAACCTAGAAGAAACAATGTATAATAACCTATTAATTAATTTTAAACCAGTAACACAAAATAGTTTGTGCGATGCAAATTCAACACACCAGATCCAGAAGATGCCTTTTGGCGTCAACTTTTTGCCTCTCTGAATACGCTGAGCTTGTTTTCTCAGTAGATATAGTGAGTAAATCAGTTGGACTATCACCAGAAATCCATTCCATAGTCAAGACTCTCCTTCGGCTTAAATGTCTGAAAACTTTGGGCACGTGTATAAATGAAAAATGGGAATGAGTTTCCTGCACAAGCAGTAAAAACCGTTTGATATAATGTTATTAGCATATCTGAGAGATGAACAACAGGGAAGGAAGTGCCTACCCAAAACTCTGTTGCATTGGTGGCCTCTAAATTATAATCCAATTCCCCAAGCAAACCTTTCCCGAGTTCATCAGCATACAGTCGAAGGTCACTTTTTCTCTTTGCTATCTTTTGCAAGAATCCAAGCTGAAAGAATCATTTATATTAAAGCAAGTTATATAAATGTACATGAAGACAATTATACATCATTGAAGGACAATACATACCCCAAGTCGAAGAATATAGACATCACGCACGACGACATGAAGCATATTAGGGCGTTGAACCTTCACGGCCACACTAATGCCATCAAGTGTTCTTCCACGATAGA